CCGAGGTTTCAGATCCGGCCATGGCGGGCTCGGCCGATCTGGCCCGTTAGCTTCGGCCGGCGGTGAGGTTGGTGGTCGTGCGTGGGGATGGCGCCGCCGCCGCGCAAGAGGTGCTTGGGCCAGTGGGTTCGCATGCTGGCGGCGCTAGGGTTCCCGCATCCTCGTCCGGCAGCGTGAGGGTGTGGAGGTAGGGTTGCTCCGGGCGAAAGCCGACGGCGCGGTGTCTGCGGATGTCGCTCTCCTTCTGGGGCCGTTGTGGAGTTCTCCGACCTCCTCCACTCTCGGGTCACTTTCTTCGGTTGAAAGCCTAGGACATGCGGTGCAGGACCAGACGATGGCGTGATACGTCGCTTCCCCTCCTGAGGGCGTCATCTTGAGGATTGTGACTCACTGCGTGCTTTCCCGGAGCTGGACTTGCACGACATCGCGGCAGGTGGCCGGTGATGCGTCCAGAGGTGGAGCGGTGTTTCCTCCTCCGCATCAAAGACGATCACTACTAGAAATCCCCATATTTCCGACGGTGAAATCTAATAGCCGACGGTCCGTCGGTCATTATAGTAATAACCGACGGGGGAGGCAATGGCCGACGGTTATTGGCAACTCATGGGTATGACCACTAATAACCGACGGTGTCCTAAATTATCTAACGGGGAAAACCCAGCTCTCGGTTATCCAACTTAATGCCCGACGGTGCATTGTAATATCCGACGGTTTTGGCTATACCCATGGAGATTACATGTAATACCCGACGGTGAAATTTAATAGCCGAAGGTTAAAACAGAACTCTCAGCTATAAGTACAAATGACCGACGGTGCATAAGTCACTCTCGCCTATTAGATTAAATACCCGACGGGGTATTTAATAACCGGCGGTTGAATTTAACCCTCGGTGATATGTTTCAATAGACGACTGCAATAAACATGTGGAACAACCAATAGTTTATTCCAGAAAATTTTAATAAAAGTAAACTTCCAACAATTTAGTTCTAGCATTGATGTTGTAAGTGCATGACATGTTATTTTTCTTTAATAGGGTGGGAAAAAATTTGGTCCAAAAAATACAAATATGATGGTTTTAAAAAAATGACCTGTTTGAAAGAATGTGCACTTACACAAAGTATCAAGAGGAAGAGGCCCAATCCCTTATCTGATGTAACGGAGTTGACGAACAGATAAGGGAGATGCTCAACATAGTCTTGTATATATAGGTCTAGGTTGGGTCATTACTATGTGGCACATGGCGTTTTGGCTAAGTGGAGTGTGTTGTCGCCGTGTCCGAGCAGTGGCTGGTGGCTCACCATGTGGGAAAAAATGGAATTCTATATCGGGATAGAGTTCATCCATGGTTGCTTTGGAGTGGGTAGGCGTTTGTTGCGGCGATCGGTTGTTGTCCTGTTTCACGACACCACCCCATCTGCTGGCCCAAGGACGCCCATTCATCTTCCCCCTGACTAAGGAGGTAAAATGGAGGCAACGCTGATTCTCCATGGAGTCTGTGTCATGGAGCCACAGAGGTCTTGTCATTCCAAGTGGTGTCATCCTCGACGACAATGAGGATATGCCTGTATATATTGGATCGTTCCATCAATGTTCTAGGGCCCTCTTTGTAAAATCTAGGGTCTAGTTTGCTATTTTTTATTAGTAGTTATGTGTCCTTCTGTAACTTGTTGTGTATGTTCATGTTTTTATTTATTTAACACACCTTTGTGGTCTAGAAGGACCATAGCCTCCACGTTTTTATTAAATGCAATTTAGATCATGAATTATAGAAAAACATGAGTTCTGCATTTCAAAATTAAAAAAGAGTCCTGCTATGCATACGATTCTGTATGTATGATCCTTGTCCTGCATTATCCTTGTCCAGCACAACATATCAGTCCATTGGGGGGGGGGCAACATACAACACATTAATGAGTTATCCACCATACATGGATCGCACCAAGAAACGTCATATGTGCAACTGTTCGGATTAAAATGTTGACCTATGTGAGAAATCTAAGAATCAAAATATGATTTTTGTAAAGAACAAATGGCCCAATAGAATAAAAGTTAATTAGATGGTTTTCGTGGGGTGGAATCAAAATACAACACACCAATGAATCATCCATCGTGCATGGATAGCACCAAGAGACGTCTTATGTGCATCAGTTCGGAACTTCTAACACTGTTTGAAAAATCTATGAATACATGTTGCTTGTAAGTGTGAGAGTGTCAAGATGAGATATTATCTTTATAAGCAAATACGAAGTTACTACATCAAAATTTCTCATTAATTTTTTTTGAACATTTGGGGTCCCATATTATTTTAAAATAACAAAGATATATATTTGGTGGTGTTATCTTTTTTATGTGAGAATTGTTAGTGTTATGTTGATAGCATGCTTGGAAATATATGAGACATCATTGAAGATGTGCCCCTTCAATGAAACCTATAGTTACGGTTTTATCAAATCTTTTGAATATTGGAAAGATTATTTGGGAAGCGTGTACCATAAATATTGATCTGGAAACTTCCAACTAATTTCTACATATGTGGGACCACATTATACATGTTCTATTAGATTGTTGCAAATTTCTAAATTCCTTTTCTATCATTTAGAATTTAAATAAATATTTGCGAAATTAAATTTACCTAAATGTACATTATGGATACAATTGACATCACGCGAGTTTAAAATGTTGCAAAGTATATTTCATCATCACATTGAATTTACTGCATTGTATTTAAATTGATCAAATATTAATATGATAATTGTTCAAATCTATATCTATATCTATACCTACTAATAAAGCAAGGTGTGTTTTTCCATTTTTTTTTCATCCGTTCACCAACAAAAATATATTTTTTCTATCCAAGGTGGTACTAAATTTTTCTGCGTCCATCTTCTACAAAAAACCAATTTTATCAGAATTTCGTACATGGGCTGTGTGTGCTGCGGCCCAGCGAAGCCAGCCCATTTATTTCCAGCCAACGCAGCCGCAAACCCTTATTTGCCGCACTGAGCGACAAATAGTCCGAGTTTCGTAAAGGACACCCAGATTGGGCCAGCACGTTCTCGTTCCTCTCTATGTTCTATTTATATTTTCTCTTTCTTTTACTTTCTCTTTCCTCTTTCCCTTCCAAGTTTATTTTTATTTTTTCAAAATTTCATTTTATTTTCAGAATTTCCATTTTTATTCAATTTTTCATCAAATCTTCATAATTTCCAAATTTTGTTCCCATGTTGAAAATGTGGGGAACTTTTTATTTTTCTTCTCGTTCCAAAATTTTCCAAAATTCATTAAATGATTGCATTTTGTCACAAAATGTTTGAGTTTTCCAAAATTGTTCAAGATTTTTTAAAAAACTGCATTTTAAAACATGATACAAATTAGAAAAATATTCCTGTTTTATTGCAATATTCACAATTCAAAATAATGTTTGTGTTAAAAAAACATATTTTTAAAAAAATTGAATGTTCAAAACATCTTTCAGTTTTAAATTTTTTTTCGTAAACTGAAAAAATGTTCCTTTTTATAAAAGGTTCAGGTTTTCGAAATTCTTTGTTCTGAGTTTCAAAAAATCTTCCCGTTTCAACTTTTGTTCATTTTTTTGAAAAAATTAAAGAAAATATCAAAAAATGCTCAAATGTTTTGAAAAAAATGGGATTTCAAAAATTGCTCATGTTTCAAAGAATATTCGGCAATTCATAATTGTTACCTTATTTTTGGAAGTTCAAAAAAGAACAGAAAAGTCAAGAAATGTTTCGAATGTGATGTTGTAGTATGTTATTAAACATTTGTGTTGGCCATTGGTTAGCAGGAGTTGTTTGTTCGAGTGGCTAGCAACACGTGGTCGAGTTTTTGAGGTCAGGAGTTTGATCCTTGAACTCATTGTTTTTTCTTTAGATTTTTAGCCATGCCTGACAAAAATAGGTCATTTTGGTGCCTGCGAGTGGCCTAGACCAGACGGAACTGTTGTGTGTTACACGTGCTATTTGACGGTAAACAAGAATATGTTGGTTGGCTATAATTAAAAGTAATTATGGGTACATGCCAATAAAAGAGAATATGCTGGTTTGGCCCTGACTAAAAAATGTGGGCAAGTGAGTGCTAAAATAGTTCAGGAGAATACACCATGGTATATCAAGGACTACCTGGTTATGCAATGATTCTGTCAATGAAACGGGATTCTCTGCAATTAGTAATCCATCCGGTTACGCCATTACAGGAGAGTGGTCGAAACAAATATGCCCCGAAGGTCGCCGTGCAGCCACAAAGTGAGGAAGCAACCACAACCTCGACACGAAGGCGGGCCTGGAGAAAAAAGAGGCACAAGTTGGGTGGTGGCCGCCAGTCCGACCAAGCCCACCACTATCTAGATCTCGCGGGCCAAACGTGACCCGCGACAACACCACAACTCCTCGCTCTGTCGTTCCATCACCGCGGAGACCGTTTTGATGGACATATCAATTATCTTTTTCGATGCTTCTCGCAAAAAAATGTACATCTCTTCCGTTGCAACGCACGGGCATATGTACTAGTATAACAAAAAGAAAACCTCAAGTCTATTTACACGGGCGGCTGAAAGTTTCAAACCACGCTGGCGCGAGCCGAAAAAAATAATATGTAGCCCACGCGGCACGAAGCCACGAACTCGCAGTTGCAATTATGAACCTCCCCTTGCTAGTCGTCGTGGCCTAGCTTCACCTCGCCGGCTCGCCGCCACAGACCACCCCTCACCTTATCCGCCTCCACCCCTCACCGCCCCACCACCTGACCTAGCTTCAGATCGGCTCCACCCCTCCCCTCTCCACTCCACAACAGCCATGGCCGGAGGCTGATGGAGACGTTTTTCACCTCCCCCATTTCTATCCTCCCGTAAAAATCAAGTCCACCCAGCCAGATCCCGTCTCTGACCAGTTCTGGCGGCGGCGTGCAGCACCCGGCGATCTAAGGTGCTAGATCAGTGCCTCTTTCCTCACTTTAAGGGAAAATCTTTCTCCTCTCGCCTTGGTCTCTTATTTCTTCTCTTTCTGCAGAAACAGTACTGCTAGCAGTAGTGGCGGGAGCAGCTGCAAGCGGCGATGCGGCTGATGGGCGAGCTGTGGACCGGGCTGCTGGTCGAGCGGTGGCGCGTGCGGATGGCCGAGCGACAACGCAGGCTGAAGGGTTCTATTCTGCTGTGTTCTCCTTCTCATGAAGGGTAAAGGAGGTGGGAGATCCATATCGCTAGCTCCATCCGTTGTCAAATCCATGTACCAGGCAAGCGGCCAAGAATGCCTTCTCCCTGCCCGGCTAGAAGTTGGATCCTTCCAAGGCATCGTAACTGAATCACATCCGTCTCCCTGTTCTTAATTCGTTCATGTTAGAGTACATCTATGTTTCCATTCATCTGATTTGTTTTCTTTTTTAATTTGGCAGAGGGAACCTCTCAGGATTTTCTACGAGTAACTGTCCAAAAAGTACATGTATGTTTCCATTCATCTGATTTTTTAATAAATTTGACAGAGGGAATCTCTCAGAATTTTCTACGAGTTACTGCCCAAAAAGATCCAATCCAGTGAGATGGCCGACTTCAGGTAGGTGTACCACCTCTGTTCAGTTCCATTACCAATTACCGTATTGTAGTACTCCGCAAGTTAAGGCTGCAATCCCCAGCTAGTCTAGTCTGATATATATCTAATGTCAAATCTTTGCGAGCTAAGATGTCAAAACTGCACAAATCACACAACTATGGTGGAAATTCTACTAGGGAGTAGTAGTAGTAGTAGCATCAGCTTCGCTTTGTACAACTAGTTACACAGGAACAAAGTAAGATGAGAAAATATGTGCATATTCGGATGATGAAAAAGCTTGCCATGGTTGTCCCGCACTTAACTATTTCACTTAGTAACTTTCTGGATTTACTTTAAGTTCATAAATCATTCCTCTTTGCTAAATCGCAGAGTTGATTGCTAAAAACGAATTATCACATGTACCAGGGAACTATATTAAAAGGTCAAAATTACTAGTATATAAGTTTGTGGATAAAAGGTGCAAACGAGTGAACTAGTTTTATTTGTGTATTGTTCCCATTTACATTTAGTTTCTATTCCCCAGATGCATGGTTTGAAAACGAGTGAACCACTGGTGTAGCACTAGTAAATGCTGACGTACGCTGAGTTCCTAGTCCATGCATACTCCAGTACAATATAGAACAATTAATTTTATTCCCTGTAGCTTCCCTATAAAAGTTTGTTCCCTGTGGCTCAATTGAATTTAACTACAGTACTTTTTTTTTACATTACATCATTTTTCATCTCTCTTACAAGTTATCATTTTATAGGGGGGTGGGAAGCAATACTGGAGGCGGTCCGAGTCATGACAATAATCATTCCATTAATGATGATGACGATAACACCTATGACATCGAGGCAGGGGATATCTCGTGCGATAAACATTATGATCCATATGGCGATGAATGAGATACTAACTCTGGCGATGATGGTGACTAGTTTAACAATCTTATTCAAGTCACGCAACAGAGCGAAGTTTTGAAGATTGAGGGCAATTTAGCTTCAGCAAATTGCGTGAACCATTATATCATGCATAGTTACTATTTTGTTTTCCATTCTACATTCCCTAGATGGATCGCTAGGGTTAATGTAAATCGTATGGAACTCATTAGGCTTGTAGTACTTTCTTAGATATGCAAAATAAAAATATATGTTTTTGGGTCATGTATGGTCGTGTAATCTTGAGACCTATTTGATATGCCAATATTCTGAAACGCAGTTTGGTGTATCACACTACTGCCTATGGAGCGTAGAAAAGATCTCGGGATGACTATGCCTATAGCATAGCAAACATCTTGGGTACACAATATGCGTACGATGAGCCTTCGTAAATTGGTGTTCCTTGCCAGCCTCTCAACTAAATGAATCCCCGAAGGGTTATATGCACCGTCGGTAATCATACTAATCGATGGTTTGGCTCTACTCGTAGTTATAATTAACCCCGACGGGTCAAACATACAGTTGACTAATAACAAAGCCGACGGGAATCAATTACTGTCGGAAGAATAATAATTGACGGGGCACCGTCAGCTATATGAGTCGTCAAGCTAGTGCGAGCCAACCGTGGCCTGAACACATCCCGTCGGCTTAATACCGTGGGAAAAGATATTAGCTAAGAGTACCGTCGGCTATTAAATGTAATGGCCGACGAAGCATAGCCGACGGGAGATGGCCGACGGTTCACCGTTGGTTATAAGTGTATCTGACGGTGAACTTACATATCCGACGGTAATTGGACCCTCGGCTAAAACGGGATATCTAGTAGTGGATGGATCTCGTGGTGCAGCGGAGACTCGGCGCCTGATGCATGTAGATGGACTCGCGCAGGAGGAGGTGGTTGTCTGGCGTCATGGTGGCGTCGATGGCAGAGTGGCCTGACAAGGTAGAAGCCTCAATATCTGCTCTGAAGATGGACATGTGGAAGATGGCGGCGACGACACATGTGAGTGCGTCAGACCGGTTTGTGCCCCAGACCCGGTATGTGGCTCGGCTGGGGCTTCCGGCTTTTGATGATAGGTTTAGGTGAGTAATCTGGGTATTTGGTCCAGCTAGCATCCCTTCATCACATAGATAGAAGTAGTGGCATATGTTGCCAAGATGGCGGATTCAGGCATATTGTTGTAATACTTTGTAAGGTCCTGAAGAATAATCAATAAAGTGGCCGCATGCATCTCCCAGATGCAGAGGCCGGGGGTCATCCTCCTTTACTAAAAAAAATATCTTGAATTTTATCAAGCAAGGTTTGCTATTGCAAAGCTACCTCGCCAAGCAAAGTCCTTCTGAACTAAATATATTCTCTAATCCATCTTAAAAAATATCTACAATGTTCTCTGCATTAAGAAGATGATGCTATAATGTCTAGGAAATTGGAGACACAAAGATCCTCCATCTATCCAACTATCCTCCCAAAACAAAGTCTTGCAAAATTTCCAATTATTCTCCTTGGGTACTATTGGAAGATCTAGTTCACCCCCACCAAGCTTTGTAAAAGTGAAAGCTACAAGACCCTTTCCTTATCTGTGATGGAGTGTGTCTCTCCAATTTTTTTGTACAATATGTATTGCCATGTCCCTATAGTTGATTCCATATTACAGATCCACTAATATTTACAATGCAATATTTCATTCAGGGTGATCAAATCTAGAACCCTGGGAACTCCACAATCATTGGGTAAACATACAGTGGGCCAGTTCACTAGATGGTAGCTTTTGTGATCATTAGTCTCCTGCCACAACATTCTTGCTTTATGATGGTCCCAACTCTTGGCTACACCTTTAGGAACTTTCATAAATGAGAGAATATATAGAGGGACACTACTTACACAATCATCAACAAGAATTGCTCTGCCACCAACTGAAAGAGCGCCCCCCTTCCAATCTTGCATCTATTTCTCAATCTTCTCTTCAATATGACCCCATCAAGAAGCTCTTAATTGTTTTCCGTCTATGGTGTAAAAATTTGGATATTCGTAGACGAAGAATAAGTAATCTTGTCTTCGGATTCTGTCCATTGATAGAATAAAAAATGACAAGAGACTTTTTTCCTGAAATCCCTGCAAAAGAAGAAATTATATCACTTTCTATAAGATTTAATGAAAATTGATAAATCATTTAATATAATTGCTATGCTTAGTGTGTGAATGCCCAAATGCCGGAAAGGAAATTTACCAAATGTTGTAAGTAAAGGTCTCAATGTATGCAACTTTTCTGTTGGTAGAATCTCCAAGGAAATAAATTTCGCTCTTGTGAAAGTTTTTTTTAGCCTAAGATTTGCTCAAGATGCAAAAGATGAGTTCCAGTTTTTATTGCACCAACATGGTCATCCTCAAGCAAGAAAATGGTGCCATCAACATATTGTAAAATAGCTCCATTTTCCACCACGTGATCTAATGCCTTTATTTGATCAAACTTCTTATGCATTTATAATAAACATGTCTACCCCATTAAAAATAATACCAAATAGAATGGGTGACAAGGGTTCTCCTTGCCACCTTTGGAGTGGGAAAATAAGGGTCAAGTTGATCATTCACTGTGATGGAAACTCTCCACTTCTCACATTTTTCATTATATACACCGGTTGCCACCAAATCCCCTAGCTTGCATTAATTTATATAGAGATGGTCATTTGACTTTATCACATGCCTTTTAAAAGTCAATTTTCAGCAAGATCCCACTATGTTTCTTATTATGTACTCCATGGACAACTTCATGAAGGAGAACAATTCCTTACACAATTTACATTCCTTTGACCATGATTCAGTCTCCCTCTCTATCGAAATCACTGCCGTGAAAAGCATCAAAGAGTTCCTTCAAATACCCTTTGATAACCTCCAAAAAACACTTAGTAAAATTTGGCAAGGAATCCATCAGGTCCAACTGCCATGTTCTGCTCAAAAAAAGGTCCATCTGCCTTCTTATGTTCCATCTCAAACACTATCTCTGTAGTCTCTTCCATGGTGAACTCGCTAGTGAGTAATACACTATCCTCTTGAGTTAATTGTGAGCATTCAATTCCATCGATCTTAATGCTAGTAATCTCCGAAGGACCAAATAGATCCTTGTAAAAATCAGTGACTCAAAAGTTCTTGACCTCCTTTAATTTTTGGATCCCCTCGTCATACATCACATCAATAACATTCTTTTTTCCCTACCACTAGCCTTCAATATGAAAGTATTTGACATTTCGATCTCCATCTTTCGAATCCTTCTCTTTTGCTCTTAGTCTCCACTTGAGCTCATCAACTCTCATCGGTTCCTTTTTCAACTTAGATTCTAAAGGCATCTTCTTAATCCTTTCTTCAACACTCATACATCCAAGAAGTTAGAGAAAAGTTCATTTTAATCCTCGACTATTATGTAATTCCACGGTTGGCCCCTTGATTAAAACATCCAATGTTGTTTCTTAAACTTTCCATCATTTAAGGTAAATTAATATTGTCTGGATTTTGTCACTTGACTCTACTAGAAGCGACTTGTCCATGCTATGGTAGCAATTCCGTGCAAAAATCCAGTCAATGATTTTTGTTTCGTAAGCATAAAAAAATAGATAAAAGGGTGAAACAAATTAATAAACAGAAACTATATTTGCTAAAACTCAACTAGCTGACATTAGTTATGTCTCATTCATGAACACAGCTGTTAGATCAAAATTGCTTTGCGATTAGTGCAATTGCCTCCAAGGGGCATTGTTTATGGCCCATG